TCTTTGCTAACATTTTCAGTGTATTCTTTTGTGCCGTATATGTTGTTTAGTCCAGTTTCTACTATCTAGCGGCTATTCGTCTAACAAGCTACAGATTCTAGGTAACAATTCGGTACGGCTCAGTCCTCAGAAGAAAACCGTGCTACTGACGGCGGGCTCTGTGTCTTTGTATGCATTTCTCCTTCTCTCTCTCTCTATATATATAGTTTGTATACATATCAGTCTATCTGTCTAGCTTTTTCTCTCTGCGTATATATGTATGTTAAGCATTTCGTAATCTGTATATGAGAAAGGTCATGAATCATGAGGGGCAAGGAAAACCTGCAGTCTATGTCCTTGATGCTTTCTCATATGATAAACTTTCTCTTCTTTCGCTAATTCACTAATGCTTTTCTGCCACCCTGCTGACCCGACCTCTCTTTTGAAAGAAGAATATGTAAGTTATAACAAAATATGATAGCTGCTTTAAAAATAAATAGCGACGTCAAAATAAGCTATTCTAGATTTTATGCTCTCCCCCTAAATTCATCTGTTCTCCCAAATTTGAGACCTTTCTATGTTATATAACGCTTCTTGAAAATGGTACTAAAAATTAACCAATCATAGCTTGTCTCTACAATTGCATTGCATCTACTTCGGTATAAATACCGCTCGCGAGTAAATTACGTCATTCCTTTCCTAGCTTCTGCCACGCTGTCAACTACATGCTTTTCTGCCTGTCCTTTTTCTTATTCTAAACGGACGTCGTATCGCCGTTAACCTGTGTATAGAAGAAGTTATTGTATTCAAATATGTTTAAAAATACCTTATCTGCAAAATAGAATAGTTTTTGATATGCGGAAAAATAAAGATTGGTGATTTGTAGAAAAGGTAATTTTGTCATCTTCGTCTCTACGCTTTAAACCCTGGCCAGGACGACTGCAAGCTGATTCCTCATACGCATTAAATTATGGCATTTATAGATTACGCATTAAATTACGCATTAAATTATGGCATATTATAGCGAGAGAGAGAGATGAATATATAGATAGAAATAAAAGCATAGACTAATAATTAAGGAAGTGAAATGCTTTAAATTAATTTAGCTTTAGAAAACCCAAATTTAATTATCTTAATGTTTAATCATTCAAGTTTCTCTTTGATATTTAATAATTTAAATACTTTAAAATGCATTTATTGGCAGTAAAACCACACTATAACATTAATTAATACATTAGCCTCCATAAATTTAGAACTATAAAATCGATAGTTCGTTGTCAGTAAAAAAGGGAAAGGTTAAATGTAAAATATTTATTATCTCCACAGTTTTATTTTGTCTGGGATATTTAATCCATAAAACGATGAAAGAAAGTTTCTCCAGGTTAAATAATTAATTAAATTTTCGTAAAAAGTATAAATAAAATTTTCACAGTGAAGGAAAAATCATTGATAAACAAGAAATTTGAGGAAAAACTATTATAGTGGGCGTAGTAAGTTGTAAAGGAAAGTACACTGATGAAGAAATGGTTTTGAGACTTTTCTGAGTTTTATTAATTTGCTTAATTTTTATAATCTTATCAGACAGACTGTTTTTACTTTCTTAGAAAACTAATTGACCTCAGTGCATGACATGTTAACCAAAATTTTCATAAATATCATAATCCGCTGAAATTGTTCAGAAGAATATTAATTAATTACTTTTTTTAAATCCCTTTTTTATTTAAAGATTAATTAATTTGCTTTAACGTTTCTGCTTAAAAAAGCGAACCTTCTATAAAGAACTCACATAAACAGAATGAGATACATTTCTGGATTTTATAATGCTTGAAAATTATTGTTTGGTTAAATGTCGAAAATGTTTCCTAAAACTACATTTTGTGCAATGAATAACACTTTTCTATGATTATGACACATAAGCGAATGCGAATAAATTAAAAATGTAACGTGAATAGGAATAATACTCAGCATGTAATATCCAAACTACTTCTAAATGCGCAGATGTAACTTCAATTTATGATTGATGAACGTTTTGTTATATGAGGATCATTAAGTTATCAATTACGTTCTTCATATAAAAATGCAATCACGCCTCTTCTGGAATAATTATAATCATAAATAAGAACCTTTAAAAATATGTTGCACTTCTCAGAACTGGAAAGTAAAATTCATGGACTCAGAAAATTAAATTTAAATTGTTATCTCAAATTCACTTGAAATTTTTTTAATAACAGAAGGGTTTTTTTGACGTGAATATGGAAAGGAAAAAAAAGCATTAAAAGGTATGTAATGAAACAGAATATTCAGAAATATCCAATGGAGAGTCATCAGGACTTTTTGAAGCAGGATGACGTGGAAAATGTACTAGGAATAATGCCCTCGCCGGGATTCAGAACTAGAACAGAACTAGACAAATTAATAACAAAGAAGAAATTTCAATGCAACACCGTTCTAATGGAGCAAATATACCGCCCAAAGGGTTACAGAGATAATATTGCAGTGCAGTATAACACATTATTATTGATGGCCGAACGTAACTTGTCCCCAGAAATGCTCAGCACAGCTCGCAACATGTTATCTCTTGAGGTCGTTAGGGTCACGAATCCACCAAGCTAGACTTCAAATAACACCTCTGAAAAAAGGAAAGGAAAAAACATGCAGTAAGATTCGGTTAGCGAAACGGCCATGCAAGTGGAAAAATACGATTTATGAAACTCCAGTTCATAAAATGATGGCGTAACTGCCGCTGTATAGGTAGACCAATGTGTAGTAGTATTTCAGCCTGCGTAAAAGTAACCTGTTACAGTTACACCCTCTGCTGAAGTAATGACTGGCAAAACTAGTCAACATACCATGATCTCTTGTCATAATCACGGCATAGGTGTGTGTGTACCAATTTTAGAAATGTTCTAAAAAGTGGTAAGTTAACGAAATCTGCCGCGAAGCCTCACCAAGCAGTGAGTTTGATGAATGTAGTAGCATTTCCTGATCTGCAAAGAATTTTCGGATGCCAGATTTGAGAACTGTGAGTCCTAACAATCCTATTTAGGTGAAAATGAGCTTCATCTCCCCAAAGAATTTTCCGTAGGCAAGCATCGTCGATCTCCATCCTGGCAAGAAATGTCAGAACAAATGACACCCCTTTATTATAATCGTTATATAATCCCCCTTAGAGGGATTATATAGCGAATATAATAAAGGTATGTCATTATATAAGGTATTCTGTCCCTCTTTTCCGCATGAATTCGTGGTATAACAGTAGCACATTCGGCTCGTATTCGAGAGGTCTAGATTCGAGTCCCGGAGATGGCACGGCACATTTTTCATGCCTCACGCATAATAACAACTAATGACTCCACAAGTTGATAAATGTAATTTAGAGTTATCATGCTCATCTTCAAGATTAATAGAATAGGGAAGAATTACTGCTAAATAAACTTATGAAAAAGGTATATTCTAAGGGTCTAATTTAAGTCTCACATCAGGAATGTAACAGAATGTAAAGTGTTGTACCTATCATACCTAATGTAAATGGCGTAATTCTTATCTTCTACATAAAATACAACGTACACTTGATTTCGTTAGCATCTTACAGTAATGAGTATCGAATCTGACTCGACACTTACGTTTTACGAAAAATCACCAGACTTGTATTTATGTCACCTAACACACAACTGAAACACATAAGACAGAAAGGGGATAGTGATGTAGTCATTGCACATTAGAATTCACCATACTATTGCAATCTAGAAATAGAGAAATAAAAGTATGAAGTAAAAGAAAAGTGAATGCGTATAGAACATTTTCCAGGTCAATGACAGCGATTATGTAGGAAATATTTTGCTACTATGATGTTTCTCGTTAGGTTTCTTAGGACGAAGTGTGACAGCTGAGATACATTACTCTGTGCTAGGGAGACGATGAACATTCCATCATGGTGCATTTCTTTCCTAATGAAAATAGTAGTTCTTTTTGAAATAAATCGCATTCACATAGGGAAAAATTGGCGTTTTGCAGAAACAGCAATCCAGGATATGCATTATGTATGAATTATACAAGTATGAAGTTGCTAAAGGAAACTGATTATTAATTGATTTATCCTAACGGGCTTTACCAAAACTTTGTAATGTATGTGAAGAATAATCATTGTACGTAAGTTTGGATATACTTATAAATAACAGATAACTAAGTTTAGATCTGGTTTAAGCTAAATTTAGTTTTAAACAATTTAACAGAAACTGAATAGCTGATACTTTAATTTTAACAATTCACGGTTTCTAACAAATAATTATGTAATGAACTTTATAAAACACCTGAATCTCGAATCTACTTATCCACTTATAATCAACATAAGTTCAGAGTTTCCCTCTGTTTATAAAACCAAGATTTTATTTTGCATCAAGCACGGCAGAATTGGTGAAAACCAAGCAGCGGGCTTAGATTCAGCATGAGTGAAATACCGAATTCATGGGTTAACATAATTCCGTTGATATATGTCTATCTGCGTTATTTCCAAACCTTTTTGTGGTCATCTTATTCACATCTTGATCTACTGGAGTGAACTGAAAAACCTATTACAATTCATCCCCACCAGGATTCGGAGATTTGGTATCCTAATGCCCTGTCGCCCTTCAAAAAGGAGGACTATATAATATATTTTCTCTCTCCTTCGTGGTGAAGTGATAGCACACTCGGTTCGTATTTGAGCGATCCAGGTTCAAGTTTTGGCGAGGGCATTGCTCAGTTTTCATGTATGCTGCTTCAAAATAACCTAATGACTCTACAAAGCTACCATAACCAGCTACGTGTTGACATGTCGCTACTACTGAATTTTTAAGTTAGTATCTAAGCAAAAGAATTGAATTCTAGGAATATGGGTCAAGTTTATTTTTAATGTGACAAATCTACAAACATTAGCTGAAATTATTTTTCGCTTTGTATCAAGAACAATTCAAGAACTAGGAAAAGCTGGAATTCATATAAATGTTCTGGTGGAAAGTAATAAAAGACCAAACAGTTTGTTATTTACTATTTTATTACATGAACATATAATAAAAGTTAATTACAACTATTATACAAAATTACATACCAGTTTTTCCTGAGGCTGCCAGACATTCATATATCGCTGATTAATAAAAATTCCGAAAATTCGATGCATTATGTAATAAAAAGAACTTGAAAGCTCTGTTTAAATGAAAAAAAAAAAGAAGAAACAGAAAACGTGTGCATCTAATTTCCATTTCCATTTCACAAAAATATATATATGTATATATATCTACAATCATTCTTCTACATTTAGATGTGATTATGTTGTTCACTTAATCAGTGCAATGAAATACCATCAATAATATATTATCTGGCAGCAAAATTGCTTGAAAACACCCTTAACATTATAAGCGAAGTTACCACAAGGAATGCACCCAAATATCACTGTGCAGAGAAGATTTGAATAATTTCTCACTCGCGAGGTAAGTTTCCATCAAAACCTTTGTAAAATCTAAGCTACAAAGTTTGAAAGACACAGATTTAGTATTCAAAGTTGCTGAATTTTAACAAGTGGCACCTATTTTTATGAAAATAGATTTGTTTCATTAGTACCTGCTGAGATGAACTTAATAAGAGAAGAACTTAAAAGAAAATCAAGGTTATTTAAGTTGTCATTCAAATATTTGTGTGCCCCAGAAGAAAATTTGTCCAGGAAACGGTCTCGATTAGTTTCACCAACTCCATCTTCGTCCGCCTAAAATTATCCTTGAGTTCAAGCAACGTTATTCTTTTATAACTAAGTTCCTCGATTCCAACAGACAACAGGCTTTCAGAAAAAGCGATTCTATATGTTATTCTTAAAATATTGTCTGTATCAATAACGCATTATTTCATTGTATTTTGATACGATATTTTCATGCTTTGGTATATGCTATTGGTAGTAAATTGGTTGAAGATCATTAAGCATGAGCCTGTGTCAGATGGACAGTCTTTTCTTTCTTATGTCAGGAAATTCCATGCAAAGATCTGAGTCTGATCGCAAGGATTCCAGTATATCGTCTCTTGTGCCAGTGGGACTTATCACGTGCAGAGGCATCCCATGAGGAGACCTACTAAGAGATCTACTCCTCAGTGCATAAGGAGTCTCAGTGTTCATCTCCCTGCGTCGCCTGACAGGACAACATGCGTGGCATGTGCACAATGATCCATCATCGTCTGAGTCAGAATCATCCGGTCCTAAACCAGATATGATACTGCCGTTAGCAGTAATGACGTCACCCTCTAAACGGACTGCTTCTTGGGCAGCACACTGAGCTTCCGCCTCATCTCGACGTTCATCTTCAGTGTTCATAGTAAGGAATCTCAAAACTAAAAGGTTCATGCCTGCAGATACGACAGATAGTCCGAAGAGAATGAACACCAAACTAAAAGCCACGTACTCCGGCTTGCTCTGCAAGGCACTTTCTTTTTGAAGTGCCACATAGTCACCAAAACCTACAAGAAAAAAAGTATGCATATATATAGGAAAGTTTATTGTTAAGTATAGCTCTCACATCATCACAATCTGCTAAAAATATTTTCATTGAAAATAAATATTCTAATTCTAAACAAAGAAAAGTTTGATTCAGATTTCACCAACTTTTCCCCAGCATTTTATTCGCATGCCAAAATGTCTTTGCTCGACGTCGATGTTGAACGTTATCTCTATTAGTGTCATATTTTTATAGGCAGCAGCATATTTGTATATATATATATTTAATGATTCCAAAATGCGTAGATGAAAACAGTGGAACTTTTAACAGCTTAGATACTGCATAAATGACCGAGAATACCGTAGTGGGTTTAAGGTGGCAGAGTGGAAAGCCTGATGACGCAAGTTATCACAATGTATCTTGAAAAATCACAATCTTTATTTATTTTACGTATATCAAATCATCCTTTTTTTCAGACAAGATGTTTTCTAATTATACTTGAATGCAGAAGTTGCATTTTGAATTATGACGTTGTTTTTATGCGGAAAAAGGGAAGAGTTATAGTACTTTTACAGGAAGAAAGTTGGGAGTGGGAAAGTTTCAGTTCAGATAGAAGAATCTGGAACCTGTGAGAATAGATGAATTTAGGGGCAGATCACCAAATTTAGAATGCTAATTTTGAGGTCGCCAATTATATTTTTGAAACAGCTATTTTGTTATATCTTACATATACATAATTTCAGTACCATATTAGATATATTATTTTACAGAAATATTAATTTTTACTTCGTTGTGCAAAGTTAAGAAAGTATTCCTATCGCGAAAAATGTCGGCTATCATATTTAACGAAAATATCCACTCTACCCTCTCTCGAATATATTCCAATAAATATTTTTTGTGTGTGTGTGTGAAATTTGTACGTATGGACAGAATAAAGAAGATTTTTTTTCAAAATGGATTATAAAATGGATTCAAAATCGATTCGGGAAGGGTTTTTTGTGTTGTTCTATACGCCGGTACGCACCTCGCGTAACTCAAAAACGGTAACCGTAGAACGTTAAAATTTTGTATATGTAACTGTTATATAGTAGATGCGTGCATCTTCCCTTGTTTTTGCAATGGACAGTACCAAAAAACGTATGTGTACATTTATACACTCACCATCTTACTGGGATAGGCGAGCTCAGTTTATTATTCTTATATATTGGTAAATTGCGCATTTTTTTACTTCAAATTGATTGAAATGTGTTGCTTTAATGTTTTGGTTAATAACTGTATGCCGTTAGTTAATCTGCATGTAACAGTTGAAGAATTTTTTAATATTTAAAAGTGCAAAAGGCACCAAGCCTAACGTGGCAACTACTTGTACATTTGAAACTTTTAATTGTATAGCGAATTAAGTCAGTTGGTGCACCAGAGTCTTTTTGCTTAGTGGAACCGGCGTTAGCTTCAAAGATTTTCTGCACCGAAAATTTTGTCCTTCCCGCTCGTTGACCGAATTAATATTTTGGAGTAGAAACTCTAAATTTAATTGCAAAAATTGTTTTTAACTGCTTTTAAATCTATTTGATCTTTTAGATTTTTATGTGTTTTACAATTTTTAAATGGAGATATTTTCAGTTTTTACGTTATGTTCTGAGTTTTTTGCCTTGCTGTGAGTTCAATTGAGGACTGAATTAATTTAACGCGAAATGTATTTCTAATGAAATTCGAGAAAATGAGTTTAAATTAAGTGTAGTAAAAAGTGCGCACAATTTAACAGGCCGTACAAGGAAGTCATGTGGTGATCATATCAAATCTTTTACATTAAGTAGGACTACCTTATTTTTCCACTTTCTCGTAAAAATACCTTATTTATGTTAAATTATTTATGAGTATATGAAATTTCATTAGTAATTATTATTATATGCAAGAAATATAATATCATTTTCCTAATGTGCATACCTTTATTTTTCGTCTTTATACTGAATTTCAGAAGTATATGCATTTTAGATTTTGTTTTTGGCAATTGGCTATTATTTCTCACTGGGTGTTCGCCGAAAACTTCGCGGACGAAGACGTCGCTGAGAAAACAACTCAAGACGGAAAACGTCGTGGTACAAAACATCGTGGGAGAAAAGAAAGCAAAGAGAAAACACCGATTTTAAAAGTTTTAAGTGCATTTTCGCATAATAATTTGTGAGCGCAAGAAGGAAGAAGGAATATTTTTGCTTCTACATTTCATGTTTTTGAGTAAACTAATAAGATTTTGCTGAAAATCTAAGAAGGAAATTTCAAGCATTTTAAAACTGAAAATGAGTAGATTTAACGCAACTTGTAGGACTTGATAGAATTTTAAAATTTACATGGTTAATTAACAAAGGTTATTAATAAATTAATCTTTTTTTATAAAGTTTTACTGTTAATTTTTCTGAAAAATAGTCTAAAAATGCTTAAAAAAGGGAGATAAATAACTGCATGAGGTTAACTCTATGAAGTTTGCTTAGTTCATCATCAAATTATTTGCTTTCACATTTGTTAATCTGTTATTGTTTTAGTGAACATTATATCTTGTTTTGTTTCCTTTTATTCTCGAAGGGATGTTAACATTTCACCCTCTTTCCTTCTTGGGCCTCCAAATCATTATGCAAAAATGCAGTTACACCTTTTAAAACCTGAAAAACGCGTATGTGCGATGTTATCGTCATGCGATGATTTGCAGGTACTTTATTGTTTACCACGATCTTTCCATGACGATGTTTTTAAACTGCGAAATTTTTTAATCCGCTTTATTGTCGACCACGATATTTTATACCACGAAGTTTTAAAACTGAGAGGTTTTCTCTTTGCTTTTTTTTTTTTTTTTTTTTTCTCCCACGATGTTTTGTACCACGACGCGTTCGACTTCCGTTGTTTTCTCCGCGACGTTTTCATGCGCGATGATTTCGCCGCGATATTTTTGCGCGATATCTACTCACTGTCGTGCTTATCTTAAATGAAGGAATATTCAATATAATATCAACATTATGCATTTTCTGTTAATATGCTTTTTTGAGTAATTTTTTTTTACTTTAATGTATGTTAGTTTTCTAGTTTAATGTATTTTAGTTTGGTTTTTCACTCCCGTTTGTGAGTCTGTCAATCATCAAAACATTACATGGTGAATTTGAATACATATCCCTTCGGCTCTACAAAATGATTTCGAGCTTCCAAATTTCTTTTCTGATAAAACTCTGATGTTACTTATTTTAAAATAACCATAAATACCAAATTGTTGTATGCATAAGTTATGCGACAGTAATTACATTAACTTTCCATTTATTCTGTTTTAAATAATATGGTTAAGTTTTAATTTTATTTGGTCATTATTAATTGTTTCGAACTACGCGTTGAGTAATTTTTATAATTGTAATATGTAATTTTCGAACGATATTTTAATTTGAAATACATATTCTGACTTTCATTTTAAATTAAAATTATTTATATGTACATTAAGATTATATACTTGCTAAATGACTCTAAGAACCATTTCACTAAAATTAATACCTGCTTCCACACTTTGAATATTAAACAAAAAAAATCCATTTTCCTTACGCAGTGAAATAAAGAAACTTTAGTTTAAATAACAGTCTGTTTAGAATGACGTCTTCCAAATACTGGCGTTGCGTTTAGATTATTGTTGTGAAAAACCGATTTAAAATATTTGTACCTTCACTTTTAAATTCACTTTTTAGAATATCACTTTCCATTATCCATTCTTTAAAATATTCAAATAAATTTCAATTGCAAAATCGCAGCAAAAATGAAAGCAGTTTCTGAATGCTAAACATGCATAAAATCTAGAAAGAATGGAAATATTATTGGAAAATGTTTTAGGAAAATAAAATTTATCTTGCACGAATAAAATCTTCATATTTTAAATGCAGTGTATGGTACCATTTTCAAAATACTTCCCACGCACGTTCGTTTCACGCCTTTAATTTTCAATGTAAATGTAACAGAAAACAATATTGACTGTGATAAATAGAAGCTCAACGTGTATTCAGTTCCATGAAATTAGCTATAATACCTCAGAAATCTGAATGCTATATAAATATGACTTCAAAAATAATGCAATGTATGACATAAGCTGTATAAAAACTGATTTCAGTTATAGTAAAATACATTATAATAAAATAAATCTTGAAGTTTCTGCAGAGTGAGATTAAAAATTATGCTTTTTAATATACTTTACTAATTTTCACAAATAAGAGCGATTAATATATTGTTCTTAATATTATAATAAACGTGTATATGCGACCAAATATTGTGTTTCGAGCATTATATTATTTTTGAATGATATCGAAGCACCCATCAATATCTTAAAAAGTGCAGCAGTTCGAAAAATTTCAAAGAATCTTATACATTTCCTGAATTATTTTCATATGTAACAGAAATGATTTATCCTAATTGAACAGCTAATATAGGTAATATAACTAAACCTAAACCTTACAAATTCCATGCGCTTATTTTCAATAGAAATTACCACCTATGTACAGATATATGCAAAAATTTATTTTAGCAAATGATGCTTCAGTACTCAAATAAAAATATGCAGAAATCATTACATGTTGTATGATTTCATAAAATACATTGCATTAAAAAGCATTAAGTACATTAAAAAGTAAAACGTGATTGAACACACTACCCAAGTAGCACACGGCGTTGCAAACTGGTCAGAGACGTTGCAAAGTGGTCGTGGTAACATTTACGACGTCTTTACAACGTTGAGAAGACGCAAAATATTTGCCGTTGTATCTTGGCAATTTGTCGACGTCGCTGAAACGTCATGATATGACCGCTTTTAGACGTGATCGTTTTTTTTTTTTTTTTTTTTTTAGTTCATCAACATTATTTTTAGAATGAAAAGAGACTAAATCTGCCTTTTCAAGAATCTGAAGATTTACTTTGCAATGTTTCATTACTTTATTTCATCTAAATATATTAATCTAAGGTAGATTCATCAAATGAAATGTAAATTTAACTTATAAATTTAATTAGTAA